TCTCACTTGTCTCTCCTCCACCCCTTGTCTGGCAAACATTGGAAATTTCCTCCTCTTTTGGCGCAATTAAGGCTTCAAGAAGAAAAATGTTGTCTGTTTTTCCTAAATCATACAATTCACAAAAAGGAATATCTATTTCGTCTGTAAAAATTTTCCTTAATTCAATACGAAATAATCTTTCTCGAAGAACTTGTAAAGTCCCCGAAATTGACAATTGTTGAGAAAGTAACAATGTTACTATTTGTCCTACAGGCATTTTGGCAATAGAATTCCAAATACCTCTGATATCGGGACTATCTATCAGTCTTGCCATTCTTTTCTTGTAGTCAGTCATTATCTCAATTGCAAAAGCCATTTTCTTAGACAAATTTTAAACAAGTCAAAAAAAAAAAATTATGTCACGCTTTGTCAAAATAAATTAGGGTAATTTTATTTTATTTTGGAAAAATTCGTTAGATTTTTCCTATCGTCGTAACAAAAGTTAATTTTTAGGGTACTACACAAATTATATACGGTCCTGAAATTATTTAATAATTTGTTTAATTAATTTTATTTCCATCAAACTTTAAAAAAAGGATAAAAATTTTGAAAATTTGTTAACTATTAACAAAAAGGGGGCACGTCTCCCATTTAATACGGCCCTGGTCCTTTTAAAATTTTCACTGTCTCGCGGCAGAAATTTTCATCTCCCTTCCCAAGTCAAATTTCTCTTGTCAATTTCTGCATGAGTAATATTTTCGAGCCTACGTGACTAATTTTTGTCATGCGCAATAATTTCCCTAGTCGAAATTTTCCACTAATCGCCAATTTCTATGAACGAAAATGAATTTGAAAAACGATGTGAAAAATTATCACTTCGCGCATGCGTTATATGTCATGTGATTACTATGATTTTATTCAACACCAATCACGTGTTGGCTAATTATTTAAATAATAATGGCAAAAATTATTTATCACTTGCGAAAAATCAAGAAAAATTCACTGAATTTAGTAAAATTTAAATTACTGAAATCGTCTAAGAATTACACAAACTATTCAACTTCCAAAAAAAATGTCTAAATTGAGGTTATGGCGTCTCTCGCCATGCCGTCAACAAAAATTCTCAAGTGTAAAAATGTTTCATTTTACACAATTATCTCCTCCTCTCCAAAGTCACATACAATAAAGAAAACAATTTACATGTAAATCTCCTCCTCTCCCAAGTCAAATATAGAAATACATATAAATTCTTCTCCTCTCCCAAGTCCAATCAAAAATACATGTCACAAAAATAATTTCAAGTCAAAAATTATAGAATAATTTCTAGTCGTGTCTCAAAAATTTCCCAACAAATGTGCCCCACGTTGGGCGCCAAATTTTATGACGGTTCTTTTAATAATAAATCAGAAAATTTATAAGATTCAGATAAACATTAATTCCCTTACACGTCAATAATCAATTCAACACCAAACATGTTTGTCAGACGCCAGTTAGTTTAATTATTGAAAAACTAACAAAGACAATCAATCAATAAATGATAAATAAAAATCTAGAACCAATATTAATTTCAATCAAAAAGATCTCAAAGGAGATTCCGTTGGGAAAAGTCAAATAAAGGGGAAATTTAACCTCTGAGACACAACTCCATCATAGTGTAATTCTACTTACTATTTTCTAGTCAAAATATTTTCTCTGCTTGTCACCAGGTAAAAAGAATTCCTCGGCGAAATAACACAACTTATGCTTTTTTAGATAATATTTATTATCAAACAAAACTCTTCTAAAATTACTTTCAAAAATACAATTCCTTGTCCCTTGTCACACTTCTCTCTTTCAAATCAAACTCTTAAACACATGTCTATTCAACGACAACACAAATCGAACTCTATTCAAAAATGTGCTTTCGTCGTCTGCTACATTTTTCGCGAAGAGCCGGTACACACTTGTCAAAAAGGGGAATTTACATTTCTCTCTACGCCTTAAAGTCAAAAGGACTAACGCGCTAAACCCAAATTCAAATAATTATTAATTGAAATTATAATAATAAAAAGAAAGTGAATAATTAACATATCATGACGAAACCACTTCGTCACAAAATATATATATATATATATATATATATATATATATATTATATTCTTTTATTAAAATTTATGAGTTTATCAAGTGGGAGATCGGGAAAAATACGGAATTTGATGGGAATTTAGTACAAGCATGAAAAACTCGAGAAGTTTTTGGAAACTTATAAAATGGAAATGATTTTTTCTCCTGATTCAAATCGTAAAGAAGAGGTTTCACTTGAAATTAAATTATACAAGAATTCTTTAAAGTCGAGAATCGAATTAGAATTTTTAAAAATCGTTATTTTCGTATTATTTGTAGAATAAAAAATATATTATATAATATTTGTATATATGTATACAATATCCCCGGTCAGAATTGGATTGAGCAAAATTTCGCAAAACCTATAGCCCTATTGAATGCGATTTTGAATGATTTATATAAACACAAAATATTTATGCTGCAGGGGGTCAAAAATATAAGATTTTTTTTGCAAGACATTTTTGAAATAATGTCTGTAATCTTTTTAAAACAAAACCAAAAATATTTCTATCGATTTTAGAGCTCTTTTTACGCATTTTTAATGATATTAACAGTTTTAGTGAAACGAATTTCTGACCTTGAAAATTGAAAGCAAACAGTAATTTTTTTTTTTTATAAATGAACACTTTCAATTGAATTTTTTAGTTTCTTCTCACTGGGTTGAGGAAATTTTCTCAAAAAAGTGAACGTTGAGAACAGGGCAAAAACTTCAAGCTGGTTAAATTTAGCTCCTTTGCACTGTTTAAGAAAGCGTTTGAAATAATCATTTGAAATTTTTCGTCTTATTTTTTGACATGTACATTTTTTCAAAATTTTATTATTTTTATGGAAAAAAAATCAATTTTTCAAGATAGCAAAATTCTAGTTTCTATTCGCATTTTTCAATTATTCAACAAGGCTATAGGTTGCTCGAATTTGAACCCAGATTAACTCATGTGGAATGCTACACGGGCCTGTGGAAATTTATAAATCAAAATAACATTGTTTTCAGGACAAAATTTTTCTCAGGAACAAATTGATGAAGATGACACTGCACGCCAGAAAAATGCAGTAGATCATGAACCGCAGAATGAAGAGAGTGATTTTCGAAATTTGATGATCATTGATGAATATTGGGATGTATCAGAAACCGAAAATATGAGTCAAATCGACGTTTCGAGGGAAGAAACATTTCCGAAACAAGTTTCCCATATCGTCGTTAAGGGAAATACACTGTTGAAAACATCAAACTCTTTTGTTGATGAAATTCAACACGGAACTAGTGTCAACGACTCAAATTTACTCTTGACATTATCAAACTTTGATCCTGCAGTATATGAAGATGGAAAAATGGGACCTGAAACATATTCCAAACAAACTATCACTGATTCTCACAAAGTATCTTCGACATATCCAGGGCCATCTTCGACATTGTCAAACTTTGCTCGTGAAGAACCTGAACGTGAAAATGTGGAACCGAAAACATCTTGCAAACCAAAAATCATCGACTCCCAAATACTATCTGCGAAAATACCAATTTCTTCTCAACATTCAGTTAATTGGTCAACATTACCTGCTCGTAAACCAATTTTGATCGACGCTCCAGGGCCATCTTCGACATTGTCAAACTCTGCTAGTGAAGAACCTGGACGTAAAAATGTGGGACTGGAAACATCTTGCAAACCAACTATCGTTGACTCTCAAATACTATCTGCGACAATTCCACGATCTTCTCAACATTCACTTGATTTTCAAAGTATGGGAACAAAAGCATCTACATCAAAAACAACTCATAACAGCTTAAATCTAAAGTCTGCTAAAATTTTTAGGAATGGGAAGCACTATTTACCAACTGCAAATGAAAGTGATGAAGGTGACCTGAATAAAAAACTGCAGGTACTAAAAAGAGCTAGCATTGGTTCGAAGCAAAAAAATACCATTGTGCCACCATTTGATGATTTTGCTCTAAAAAAATTGAATGATAAAAGTAAAAATTCACGGGTTGAAGATGCTATTGTCAGTTGCTCGAGCAAAATAGAAGATCTAATTGCCTTAAATATGAAAGTTGCAGAAAGGAAACTAAACGGAAATACACTGGAATCAAGTAAACAAATGGTATCAGTAGTTTCTACCGACGGTTTTTTGAACCTACTGGAAGAAGATTGGCTCACTCTTTCCGTAGAGCAACAAAAGGAATTATTTCCTTTATTTCTGGATGAAATGGATCGTTTACGAGAAGGATAAACCCTTTTATATTATTCCAATTTGCGTTAATTTTTTTATTCATGTTTTGTCTTTTATTATAATTGACTCTAAAACTCTAAGTGTGTCAAATATATATTTTTTGTTGCTCAATATTTATAGTACTTTAAAATATTTTAGGTATTTATAAATGAAAATTTGAGACTGAGTTAATTATTACGTTATATTGAAAGAGGTTAAAAAATTATAGAATTCATCGTTCCTGTTATTTGTGAGTCACGAATATTTGTTATGATGAAGTTCAACGCGTATTTTATGTTTCTTACTTAGTGTGTAACCTTTTAAGTGATTTCAGTATTAAAAAATTAAAAGTTAAGATTAGGTCAAATATTAAGTCTTAAGAAAAAAAGATTTAATAATAAAAATACAGATTAATATTTCAATCGATATCATAACAACAATAATTTAAGAAATGAATTTTCTAGTATTATTTTTGCACAGTTTATTCATCACATGATTTGAAATATCATTCGTTTTAATATATAAAAAGTTTTAAAATTGTCGATTTCAAATACACATTTCACTTTATTTATCGCCAAAAACATTGATTTAAAAAACATTAACATTTCAAACCTCACGACTGTCTAGTCGCGTTATATGTATTTTGTGTCATAATTCAAATTTTAACGAAGTCGAAATTAAAAAAAAACAATTTTATTTTATTTAACAAAATGAAAATTGTATTACATTACAATGTATTAAAGCAAAATTTTTTCAAATTGAAATAAAAACATTGTTACTTTGACGTTCATATTCAATTATTGAATTTTTTCCTTAATATGAATTTTCTGATATTTGCTAATACTAATTTTATTAAAAATGACTAATCAGTCTTCAAAAAAGTAGAATAAAGTAAACTTAAAGTGCAACGAATTAAAAAAAGGAAATTATTGAACTGAACTACTTAAATTGTTGTAAGATCAGGCCTTGAATCTTTTTTTAGACATTAAGAAAGAAGATTCAGTTGAATTGCATGAAAAAAATCCAGTTTTAATGCATATTAATAACAACAAAATTCTGTTCTCAAATTTTAGAAGAGCTGCAAAGTAAAATAAAAATATTGCATTTAATTAAAAACATCAATGTTGTAAGATGAATCAAAAAACTTTTAAATTATTAAAATATGTAGAAGAAAGTTGCAAAGAATTGCGGTATCCAACTGTGAAGTGCGCGACTAGCATAATAAAAATGTCAAATTTACTCTACGTAAAATTTGTGATCAATTTGAATTACGAGAACCTTGAAGATCATATTTCAAAATTTTTCAAATATTTACATGAAACACAATATTCTATTATTTCTTCTAATATTCAATGATGAACAAAGTAATTGGATAATAAATTTTTCAATGCATTCGCGTCAACATCGTCATTACCGATTATATTGTCACGATCATTCAAAAGATTCTCGACTTCATTTTCTGCTGCCCTATTTTCCCGAATGAATTGGTCCATTTGTCTTTCAGGAAAATATTGTCGAAATTCTTCATCATCAGACAATTCTCTCGTTATTATATAATTGTGCAGACAGACTAATGATTGAACTACAGCGATCGATGTTTCAAGCTTGAAAGACATTTTCGATTGCAAAATTTTCCATCGAGCTGCTAGGATTCCAAATGCGCATTCTATAGTCTGTCGTGCATGAGATAATCTGCAAGAAGTAATATGGTTTTATAAGTACTAAAAAAGGTACCAAGAAGAAATAAAAAATGACCTTGTTCAATTTCTTTATTATTATGTACAGAAAAGGATTTTAACCTTATATGCATAAGAAAATTTTTTTAAACTGAAAAATAACTAGAAAGCGGTTAATTATGGGGAATTCAATATAACTCATTTAAATTGATAGAAAATTTAACAGAATATGATAATATTCGAATCAGTAAATTTCTACTGATGAAGTAATAAAATCAGAGTTCCAGAATCAAATTACGTTAATAATTAAAATCGAATTTTTACTAATGAAAAAAAAAGTAGAACAATAATTATTGAAGAATATTTGTTTTCTTATTACTTACCGGTAATTGAACAATTCTTGTAAGGGTGTAAGGGGTCGATTTCGCTTGTACGGCACAATCATGTACGGCCTTAGTGTGAAAATCCCGTCTCCTATGATGAAATGAGTCGAAATGTCATGTGAGTGTGGTAGGTAGGTTGGATTGGGTAAATTGGCCAAATTATTTTCCAACATCCGATAAAATTCAGTATGTTGGAAGGCCGAAACATCGCTTACACCACCTATAATTAAAAGCAAAAAGATCTTTATTGTAATTTTATTATTCGCAGGTACAGATTGAGTAGAAATACCCTATATCTAATGAAGAGTTTTTTTATACTTACCATAATCTCCAATATCTACCCAAGAGAATCGGCAAAAAGCATCACACATGGCCATTAGTTTAAAACTGTGAAACCTTTTATAATTAAAATAACGGCTACCAGAATTTGGTGGTGCTTTTATTCGGATCTCTTTGCCGTCCATAGCTCCAATGCAATTTGGCATATCCCATTTTGCTCGAAAACCTTGGGCAGTGACCATCCAATCTTCAGCAACTAGATTTCCTTTTAAGTACAAAGGTTGTAAACATTCCCAGATAACTGGACAAACTTCAGCAATTATGCTGTAAGCAGTTGACAAACCTATTCGAAATAAGTTGCTAGTGCTGTAGAAACTATCACCATGGGCTAAGATACTGACATGAAATCATAAAATTATATCAATTGCGTTAATTTAAAATTATAACATTCTGTAATAAATGCATAGAACAATAGATTAAAAAAAAACAATGCACATTTTGCTACATGATACATTCACTGCCAATATATAGATTTAATAAGTTATTGTTTGGATTCAAAATTTATACGATTTCAAATTCAAGGCAAATTTTAGGTATATAAGTAATGAATAATTTGAATTTTCAGGGTTGCCACAAATATTTAATTTTATTTTTCCCTGATTTCCAGAAAAAATTTCACTTTTTCCCTGACCCTAAAGAATATTCTGATTCACTCTAAAAATTATTAGATACTCAAAAAAAATGTTCTATTACATTTATTTACAAACTTCTTTAATAGTAAAATTATTTTAAAACATCAATATAACTTCTTTCTTAAATAAATATTTAATCATTATTATTTTTCTTTAGGAAATAAAATTCTTCAAAATATTCTAATTTAAACCATTTTGAAATGCAACAACTTATAAGAATATTATTACAAAACATGAAGAAGACGATTACTCCGAGTGGAAGACTCGGAGTGATCGTCTTCTTCATGTTTTGTAATTATTTACATTGCCATAAAATTTTTTAAAGTAAGTTAATTATTTATAAAAATCCTAAAAATAATCCTTCGCAAAAATTCAATTATTTTTACAAGAAGTACAATTTTACAAAAAAAATCAATTTTAAAAAAAAATGTAATAAAATTCGTTGCAATAATTCAATTATTTTTATAAATAATAAAAAATCGATTATTCGTTTATTCATTTTTAAATCAACTTTTATTAGAAAATTCTAAAAAAATTAAATTATTTAAATTAAAAAATAAATAATTTATTGAATAATTGAATGTTTGTTAAAATTGAATTCTCATAAAGAATTTTATCAATAAAATTTTAAGTAATTGAATTCATTTGACAAATTTTAATAATATTTTTAAGAATAATTTCATTTATCGAGGAATTTGATTAAAATATTGGATAACAAATAATTCATAAAAATAATAATTAAATAAATAATTAAAATTTTCATAAAATAATTGAATGTCGGAGAAAAATTTTATTATTTATATAAATAATTGAATTCTTACAACGAATTTTATTCAAGTTTATAAAAATAATTGAATTTCAGTGAAGAATTTTATTATTTACAAAAATAATTGAATTCATGACAATATTTTATAAAAATCTTTTTATATAATTGATATTTTTCGAAAAATTTTATGAAATTTTGTATTTTAAATAACTGAATTCCTGTGAAAATTTTATTACTTATGAAAATAATTGAATTATTTCAAAGAAATTTATTAAATATTGAATAATTGAATTCCTGTGGAATTTTTACAAGAATTTTATTAAAATTTTTAAAAATAATTGAATTTCGAAGAAGAATTTTATTATTTATAAAAGATAATTGAAATTTTGACAAGAATCTATTTTTAATTTTTGAACATAATTGAAATTTTGCGAAGAATTTTTGTAACTTTTGAAAACAATTGAATTTCTGTAATCATTTGTAACTTTTACAAAATCCAATTTTTTTTAGTATTTTTAACTGAAATTCTTCTATCAATCTAGTATTTATGAAAATTGTAAAAATTATTTATAAAATAATTTGTAAGTCATAATTTTATGATAGTTTTTGAAAAATTAAGTTATTTAAAATAAATTATTGTCAGAAATTTAAAAAATTTAATGTTTTGTATTAAAATTCGAGGTAATATCATAATTTACGAGGCAAAAAGGAAAAAAATTCAGAGTTTTCTCATGAATTTTAAAAATTTAATTTTTTCCAGTACTTTTAGTAAAAATCCCTGACTTTTCCCTGATTTCCCTGACCTGTGGCAACCCTGATTTTCTATACTAAATATTTTTGAAAAAATTCAAGAAAATTATAGCAAACATTTTATAAGGCATGGCGAATACTAACCTCAAAGTAACAACCAAGCGAAGCCTCGTAGACAATGGCTTTCTTAAACTGCGTTTTTCGAGCCGGTGTTGTATTAATTGGTGTAATTCCTCGAATTGTTGGACACTCATTCTCACCATTTTTCTAAAACTTTCGTGGTCCTGCATTAAAAAGTTCTCAAAAAGAGCATCGTAAGCTCCAAAAATTTCCCTCATTTGAACTCGAATATGAGGCTTAACCCACCATCGACGAAACACTTCCTTGTTAATACTTAGATACATACGAATTAAATTGAACCACTGTATAAAGATAAAGAGGAATGTCATGAAATCTTCCATTTTTTAAAAAATAAAAAACGATTTAGTTAATTATTAGCAATCACAAAATATAAGCACTAACCAAACTAGGCCTATACTAAACACTAAACTGCATGAACTTTTAGCAGTTGGCAACACTACATTAGTGACGTCAGAACCAACGCGCGCGTAAGCTTTGCGTGAACGTTGCGCGCGTGTCAACCTTACGTATATCCATTCTGGAATCGGCCTTATAGACATCAACAAACCTTGCGCGCTTTGCACGCTAGGACAGTTGTAGACATCAACAAACCTTGCGCGATATGCACGCAAGGATAAATACATATGGGCAATTCCACGCAAGATGACCTATGACCTTGGAAATTTGGTTAAACATATTTTTTTATTTTTGTTTAATCGCCCAAATTTTCGAGTTATGTATTTTCGAAATTTTGGATTTGTAACTGTAGACATATTTTCAGTAGCTTATAAGTCTGAAAATATTAAGTATAGAAAAAACTTGTCAAGGAATGAAAGTTTTAGTTTTCTTTCAACTTTTAAGAAATGTAAAAAAAAAAATTTTTTTTAAATTTTTTATTAAAAAAAATTTTTTTTTTATAAACAAATTAATTTTTTTTAACTTTGGACCCTTTTCTTTTTTATTTTTTTTAAATTTATTTATACCTTATAATATACAGAAGATTTTCCAAAAAGTTTTGGAGTGGGCCGACGCGTTTAATGAGTTGTACAAAATTTTCAAAAATCACGTGCAAGGTGCTCGTGTTCTACGAAACGCCTCACAATGGAATTTTTTTACAATTTACTTCTCAAAAAATGTCTACAGACTAAAATTTAATCGATTCGAGTGTTTTTTGTTTTAAATAAAAGGAGAACAATTTCTGAACATATCCCTCCATGCAAACCTAAGAATCTTCAATTATTTATAATTTTTTTTTAAATACAAAAAGTTAACAAATTAGTTGTGTAGTTTCCTTTAAAAATGAATGATTATTTTCTTATTTTGCTACTACACATGTCCTAAATCAGATTCAATTAATATAATATACGACCACCAAATAAATAGTAAAACATAAAATAATTTATCTAAACACTTATAAACAATATTAGTTAACAAATAGTTAACTTTGGTTCCTCTCCATAAAAAAACTTTGTTCTTTCATATTCATATTGTACTTTAGGTTCATTTAATAAATACATCTTCCTTTCGTTAAAAAACTATTTTTAATTGTTATAAACAATAATAGTTAACAAATAATGAACTTTGGTTCCTCTGCACCAAAAAGAATTTTTTCCATAGTTTTCATTGAAGTTTATTACAAAGAATATATGTTAAAAAATAGTGAACGTATGAAATAGTTTGTTCAATAACTATAAACAATTTAATATATATAAATTTGTATTAAATGTTTTTTTTCTTTCCTTGTGTTTTTTAAAATTAAAATAAAAAAATTAATTAAAATAAAATAAATGCAATTAATATATATTCTGAACATTAAAATGTTTATTGCTTTATTTTGAGACAAACATTCTTTGCAATGAACTTCAATGAAACTATGAAAAAAATTCTTTTTGGTGCAGAGGAACCAAAGTTCATTATTTGTTAACTATTATTGTTTATAACAATTAAAAATAGTTTTTTAACGAAAGGGAGATGTATTCATTAAATGAACCTAAAGTACAATATGAATATGAAAGAACAAAGTTTTTTTATGGAGAGGAACCAAAGTTAACTATTTGTTAACTAATATTGTTTATAAGTGTTTAGATAAATTATTTTATGTTTTACTATTTATCTGGTGGTCATATATTATATTAATTGAATCTGATTTAGGACATGTGTAGTAGCAAAATAAGAAAATAATCATTTATTTTTAAAGGAAACTACACAACTAATTTGTTAACTTTTTGTATTTAAAAAAAAATTATAAACAATTTAAGATTCTTAGGTTTGCATGGAGGGATATGTTCAGAAATTGTTCTCCTTTTATTTAAAACAAAAAACACTCGAATCGATTAAAAATTTTAGTCTGTAGATATTTTTTGAGAAGTAAATTGCAAAAAAATTCCATTGTGAGGCGTTTCGTAGAACACGAGCACCTTGCACGTGATTTTTGAAAATTTTGTACAACTCATTAAACGCGTCGGCCCACTCCAAAACTTTTTGAAAAATCTTCTGTATATTATAAGGTATAAATAAATTTAAAAAAAATAAAAAAGAAAAGGGTCCAAAGTTAAAAAAAATTAATTTGTTTATAAAAAAAAAAATTTTTTTAAATAAAAAATTAAAAAAATTTTTTTTTTTACATTTCTTAAAAGTTGAAAGAAAACTAAAACTTTCATTTCTTGACAAGTTTTTTCTATACTCAATATTTTTAGACTTATAAGCTACTGAAAGTATGTCTACAGTTACAAATCCAAAATTTCGAAAATTCATAACTTGAAAATTTGGGCGATTAAACAAAAATAAAAAAACACGTATTTCTTTTTTTTCCATATAGATTGAGAAAAAAATATGTTTAACCGAATTTTCAAGGTCATAGGTAAATCTTGCGTGGAATTGCCCATATATAATAACTTGCAGGCAAGGACATTTATGTACTGTAACAAACCTTGTGCGTTTTGTACGCAAGGACAATAATATAAAAGTAACAAACCTTGCGCACGTTACAACCTTTTGGCAATAAGCTATGTTGATTGTGTTTTAAATTTGATCTGTAAATAAATGATTCCTAACATACAAAAACAAAAACATACAAACTTTCCAAAAACTTTAATTATATGTCTTTGATCTTATGCGTAATCATCCAAATATCTCGGTCTTTTTATAGTTCGTTTATTTTTATCAAAGTTCTTTGTTTGAATGGATTTAGTATCTATAGTAAACTCCAAGTTTGCACTTTCGTTGACTTGCGAAGAATTTAATGAACAATAAGGTTTCATTACTTCTTCTGTACTGTTTGCTACTGGATAAACATTACATTCAGATTCTTCAGCTACAATAGATTCACAACCCACGTTATCAGAAGAAGAATATAGTTCTGTTCATAGTCATTTAAATATTGGGGTGGATTTCGTGTACGTTTATTTTTTCCAATCGACGGAACAAGACTTTTGTAATTTTCTGATTGGATAGGTTTTTCTTATCAAAGTTGTTTGTCAAAATCTTTGTTTCCTTATCTCAAACAGAATGTGATAAACAATTTGTTTTGATAATTTCTTTTACATGTTCTGATACTAAATGAGTATTACATTCAGATTCTTCTTCTGCAACAGATTCACTTTCTATGTCGTCGGAAGAAGGGTCTGTTTTATAGTTTTTCTCATAATCAATCAAGTAATTGGGTGGATTACGGGTACGTGTACTTTTTTCAATCAACGTGACATTAGTGTTACTTTTTTCTGATTCAATAAGTTTATATGTTACATTGTTTGTCAACAAGTCTGCTTCATTGATTTCTACAGAATTTAATATAGAATTTGTTTCCATTACATCTTCTGTATTTTCTGCTATTGAATTAGCAATTAATTCTATCTCTTCTGTTACAACAGATTTACCTTCTACATAATCAGAGGTCGAGTCTGTTTTATAGTCTTGTTCATAATCGTGTAAATACATTGGTTGTTTCTTGCACCGTGTACTTTTTTTAATAGACGTTACATTACTCTCACAGTTGACAATGTCATCAAATTCATTGTCGATCTGTTCTGTATCGCTTAATAAATCAGAGGTTAGTATCCTCTTTTTCTTATTTTTACACTTCAGATCGACTATTTCATCATGCTTTCTACTACTCTCTTCTGCGGGTTTTTCTAAATCTACATATACTTGTTCAAAACATGCACTATTATTGTTTTCAACGTGATTAATACCTGTTTTAATTTTTTTCATATTTTTTTACGTTCTTTTTCCATTTCATGTTTCTGTTTTGCTTCAATAATGTAAGGTGGATCTTTTACTTTTCCTACTTTGCTTATAAAACTATCAATGATTTCAGGTAATAAACATGTTGAATAAAAAAGGCTTAGCTTTGGTAACATTACATTATTCCAAAGTTCGTCATCCCTTTGTATCTCAATAAGCCTGTAATCTGATGGTATCCACACAAAAAAGTAGCAACATTCCTTACCAACAACATTTAATTGCATTTGCACCTGGTAATAATACGAATGATTTTGATTGATTTTTAAACATTTGTTGTTCGTAAATAATGATTTAATTGAATCTATTTTGTTATCATAGGCCTCAGTAAGTGACTTATAATCTCTGGCATTATAAGGACATTTTATTTCCACAATGTTACCATTTTTTTTTAAATACCATCAGGAGAAGCTGCTAAACCTTCAACTGTGCGGTGAATAAATAAGCCACATTCTAAAACTTCATCGTCTAGAATCTTCTCCAATTTTGCTTTAGCTTTTGGTTCATTTTTATTACACGAAGTGTACTCTCTTTTGTGACATATTCTACCCGCAAAGCTTGCTGTCAAAAATTGTCTTCTTAGAACTTTCCATTTAGAATTATTTATTTGTCCCCGAGTATTTTTTTTCTTCTAGATCTCGATTCTCCATCTTTCTCTTAACCTCTTTATTATGATTCTCTAACTTTTTATCATACGTTTCCTTAACCATAGCTGGTTGATCTGCATTTGGACCATAATCCTTGTCATAATATTGCTTTTTTCTTCTTTGTTTTCTTTGCGGACCATTAGCTTTTCTTCGCTGATACTCCCTTGTATTTGCGTCATGCGAATCCTGTACCGCCGTTGGGATATTTTTTCCACTAGCTTTGTAATAACCTACTGCGACATTTCGATTATTGAACTGTAAGGCTGCGGCAAGCACACGAGTTTCGTATTCATTTCGTAATGCAAAATTGATACGTTTTCCTCCGATTTTTTCAGCAACAATTCCGTTGGCTGCTTCCACTAAATTCGTATCACAATTTAATAGTAAACTTTTTGCATTTTCACTAAGACGTGAAATATCTATTTCAAGTTCAATAACAAAATTCCACTTCTCGAGATAGTCAACCTGATTAACTTCCCTATCTTTTGGAGTACCATCACAAAGTGGATTGTTTCCAATACATAGACTGTGATCCCCAAACACATGTCTAGGAATGACATTAATGGCATTTTGAACTTCAAAAATGCATTCATCATCGAAATCCCTACCAGAATTCCATACTCTTCTAAGTATACGATTTACTTCAGTAATGCATTTTTCTCCACCTGCTTTTACAATACTTCTAGCTTTGCCTATACGTCCTGTTTTGCTTGTTGCTATTCTTTTTGCACTAGTTCGAAAACATCTT